CTGACAGAAGAAACACAGATTTATGTCTTAAGCTTAATAGTTAGCATAATTCTGGACAACTTTTGTTACTTTAAGAATATTAAGGTCACGTATATCAAGATTTTGTCGTTGTCAATGTTGTCAATACTCTCCTGAATCTGTTTCCACCTACCCAGTACTTTAAGTGATTGAGTCAAGATGGAGCGTCCGGGCGTAAAATCGAGCTGACATTTCTTAACGAGCTTGTTTCTCTGTAGATGTACCATGATAACGTACAAATCTACGTCCTCCTGTCTTACTCTACGTTATAACACGTATAGAAAAGAACAAAATGGCACCGTAATTCACCTGAGACATTATTAACAACTAAATACATTAAGTCATTCTCAGTTACGAGGGAAAAAATAATGAATGTAGCTTTGAGAATCCAGGATGTGAATATTGATAGATATATTAGTAAACAGTTCAGTAGCTCTCAAGTGTTCACTACTGATGCACTGATGAATGGAGAGTATGGTGATATTAACACCATAAGTTACGCTGGATTATCTAATGTCAAACAAACCAAAGGAGAATGCCAAGTTGATATTGTTATGGTGGAAATATTTTAATAATCTATCAACATTAAAGTCGCGTTTGTGATATTTATTACCAAAAGTTTTCATCTCTCGAGTGGCTAAGTAAAGTATTCTTCTTGACTTTCCTTGTTTGACTCAACATATTGTCTGCCGATCTTTGCATGTAAAGTTTTCTCCGGGTACTCTGGTTCCCTCCTGTACTAACACTAGATAATGAAGGTTTAAGTTAATAAGGAGAAATGATGGGAATAAACAAGCCACTGACTTCATTTACCCGTCAGTGATGTAAATTAAAGTTAAGTAGACAATGATGGATTTTATAATGTTATCCCTTAAAAAATCTTAGATTTGTTTTCTATGGCAAAGATGATTTTTATAGAAAACGTATTAAAGGGTAAACTGTAAAAACAAGAAAAGTAAAAATAAACGACATATCCTATAATAATCTATCAAGTGGTTGCTTGTTATAGAGAATAGTGAAGGATTAGACTACTGTATATATATGATTACGTAAAATTGGTTTACTTTTCACAATCTGTAACTAATTTGCTGTCAATGGTAACTTATGTGTTTGTTAGTCTTTTAATTTGTCATTTGTACGACGTTTCGGCTAACTAGTCTTTTAAGCAGTTTGTTTGTACTTTGTTGCTTTGCTATGACCTTCATTGTCCAGTATTGGTGCAGGAGGAAACCGCAGTACCCGGAGAAAATCTGCCATGATTGGTAGAGTCATATTGAGGAAAACCCTTCGCACGTAAGACCCGTGGGCGTGGTGGCGGTGGGTTCAGCTGTAGCCACACCCACCGAGGTCACCATAAGCGTAGATTAAACTGCAGTGGATCGCCCCCCACTCACATAAACCTGAGTGAACATGACAGAGTTGATGCCTTAGCCAAACTCACGTCCAACAAAGACACTGTTGAACACAATCTGGGTCTGTCAAAACGAACCCTTAAAACTGTACTCAGGAATATCTTGTCGATGAATCTGAAGCAGCAGACAAACGCAAACAACAAAGAGTTAATCTATTGTTTACCATGATGAGATGTATCAAGTGAAACATGTACTGTACATGGAGCAAGTAACAAGATCACTAGATTACAAGATGTTGTAACCGTTAGACTAAGGTTAGGATGTAAGTACCTCTGGCAGTATGTCCTTCAGGCAGATGTGAACAAAATTAAATATAAAGTGTGTGGCCAGATATAACCTAACACTACGCCTGTTAAATCACCGTGGGCGTGGTGGTGGGCCCTTCTGTAATCCCAGCTAGACCACCGTGGGCGTGGCGAGTTTGCCTATATCACGCCCACACAGTTTATTGTGGGCTTCGTGAGTCCATCTGTATCACGCCCATCTGGGTCACTGTGGGCGTGGTGTTAACCTTCCCTACATCAGGACGACACAAGGTTATTCACTGGACACGCCCGCTCTAGTCCCCTTGATGACTACCTTGCCACTCTCTCTTGTTCTCGCTCTTTCTCTCATTTGTGATCTTTCTTTGTTTTATTTATAAGTTTTTGTATCTATCCATCAATCTATATATTCATTTATCTAGTTACCCTTTTTTTATTATTTTTTATCTATGTATTTGGTGGTTTGAAACACTCGCTTGATCACCGTGGTCGTTCTGAACACTCGCTTGATCATTGCAGACGTTCTAGACTCTCACCTGATTATTAAAACTGACTATAAAAAATGCTGCACAAACATAGCATGACAAATTAACCAGTTCCTACTCTAGATTCTCGTTTGACCTTCTGGACACACACGGGAGAGAGAGAGAGAGAGAGAGAGATACAAGTTTCATTTGATCTTATAAGTGACTCATCTTCCATTATTGAGACAATAACACTGCTGCCAACCCTCCCGCCACTGCTGCTGGAGATGTTCTCAAGGATCCACCAACGTGAAGAGGAAGATCTCAAACACAAAAAACAATCGACGCAGAAAAACTAAACCCGAGACGAGTTTCATAACCCATGGAAGGCTCACCTAGGGGAGCCGAGAGGATGTTAAAAGGCCGTCCCCATGTAAAGACCAGCCATCCACTTGGTCTTCAACGTTTAGATTTTGTTTTTTATTTGAAACTAAACAAAAGTAAGAGTTTTATATCCTTTAGCATGAGGTATTTAATGTTCCTGGAATCAATGTTGTGGTTATTAAGGCTACAGGAAGATGAACAGGACCTAGATACAGTCACTCGGTTCATCACCACGCAAGACTCGTCCTCAACTAGCGCAAGAGGGAGCTAAGGTGACCACGCCCAAGTGTTTTTTGTATCCTAAACTTGGCAGGAGGGCGCGGTTCAGGGGGAGCGAGGACGTCTGACGGCCGGGGGCGTTGGTAGGACCTTGAGGTACCGACCACCTCCTTGCTCTTGTTTCATCCCTAGGAACCTCCTTCCCTGAGGCGAGCGTGGCAGGAGGGCGCGAGGGAGGGAGGAAGAAAAAGAGGGAGGATGGGAAGGAGAAAGGGAGGGAAGGGGAGTACAAAATAGCGTGGGAGGATGAAACAGATAGATAGAGAAGGAGGGAGATGGAAGAGGAGGAAGAGAAAAAAGATAAGTAAGAAGAGGGATGGAATAATGATGAAAGACAGGTGTGAGGGTGTATAGAACGGCAAGGAGAGATGGGAAAGGAGAGGCGATAAGACAACAACGGTGGCAAGAGGTTATGTCAGGTCAGGTTAGGTTAGGGAGTTTAAGGTTCATCAAGTGAGATAAACTGTAGCGCTAATATTTATGTGATTCATAATTTTCAGTTCCTATCTAATCTTATAGTTGTACAGGTAACCACAACCCCACCTGGCGGCTTCATTACACAGTTACGTCACGGCTCAGGTATCACGTATGACTTGCAAAGGTGTGTGTGTGTGTGTGTGTGTGTGTGTGTGTGTGAGGCCAGGCAGGTAGGAGGGCCAATTGTACACAGGTGGGCGAGAGAATCTTACTTTACTTACTCTAAACATCACTAATGACAAACTTTCATCTATTAACTACAGGTTGTATATAAATTGACCCTATTTTCGCAAACTTTAAGACCCATAAGAGTTATATTTTAACGTCAAACTTTCTCACTTTCTTTATTCTTATTTTCTCAAACTTTCTTACTTTCTTTATTCTTATTTTCTCAAACTTTCTTACTTTCTTAGTCGGGAAAAGTATGGAATTAACCCAGGAAATTTATCTTAGAATTAGAAACATTGTGTCCGTCATTAATGCGGGGAAAACTCTGGGTCTTGGTCGTTCAGAGAAACTATTTCACACTCGTTATCACGTGACTGTCCTCATGATAACTTAAACCTCGGATTAGTTAACATCAGACTGTGGTTAACTTAATTCGGATTAGTTAACATCAGGCTAGGACTAACTTAAAATACGGATTAGTTAAACATCTTATGATTATATACTTAAACATTGTATTAGTTAAGTAAACAATTCAAACAAACACTTAATTTACAAGTAAAATAAACATTCTTAAATAAAACCTATCAGAGAGAGAGAGAGAGAGAGAGAGAGAGAGAGAGAGAAAATAAGAGTGGTTACCGCGTTGAATCACAAGTGGTAGCAACAAGTACACAGTCTTACTCGTTTGTGCTCAACAAGGTCAGGTGTGTTGGCCGTTACCGAGAAGGGGGTCTGTCTCTCTCTCTCTCTCTCTCTCTCTCTCTCTCTCTCTCTCTAAAAAATAAACTGTAATCAGAATTTCTCAATAACTAGTACACATTTTTACTGAATCACCAATTACTAAATAAACTAATTAACTCACTAATCACTAAGAAATTAACACCAACCACCCGAACTAACTGTAATTATCTTCAACACTTACCGTAACAAGAGACTTTTGAGACACTGTATATGAGAAATTGTCTTAACCTTTTCTTCCTCCTCCATAAAAAATAAAGTAACAAATATTTCAACTCCCCCCCAAAAAAATCAACAAATAAAATAACAATAAATAAATCCTGAAGAAATAAACTTATAAAAAATCCTAAAATAAAGCTAAAAAAAAAATCACCCTAATATATTTTATTTATTTATTTTATTTTTTTATTTAATTTGGTTTAGTCATGTTATTGTTTGTTTGTTGAGGTATTGTTATTGCAGGTGCTTTAACTACTCGGATTTTTAAACACCTTCTCACAACATACTCTTGTTATTATTATTTTTTTTGGACGGAAAGAAACTCTGGCTAAGGAGTCACTGAATTTTGGTTAGGTTATAATTGGTTAAGTTAGGTTAGGTTAGGTTAGGTGTGACATCTAGACCAATAGACCACTAGACCCAGGTCCCCAAGACGCTTAATAACAACACAGCCCACAAGGATGCTCTCATTGCCCACACTAGATCTTTACCTCCCTCCTGCTCTCCTTCCTACAGCCCCCCTCCCTCAACCCCAGCACCCTACCTACCTCCTACACGGGCGTGTCTTGGCCCCACCCTAACGTGACGTCACAGCCACTACATAAGGGGCAGGGCGGCTGTGCTCATCACCACAAGTTCTGTACATCTCCTGTGCTCCACAACCTCCCGCCGTCATGAAGTCTGTGAGTACCTGCCTGCACACCTGGGTCCTGCTTCCTTGTCTGCTCATACCTGTCCCCTTGTCTGCCCACATCTGTCTCCTTGTCTGCTCATACCTGTCCCCTTGTCTGCCCACATCTGTCTCCTTGTCTGCCTCTGCTTGCCTCCTTCTCTGCCCACACCTGCCTCCTTGTCTGCCCATACCTGTCCCCTTGTCTGCCCACATCTGTCTCCTTGTCTGCTTCTACTTGCCTCCTTCTCTGCCCACACCTGCCTCCTTGTCTGCCCACACCTGCCCCTTGTCTGCCCACACCTGCCCCCTTGTCTGCCCACATCTGCCCTTTGTAGTTGTTATGTTACATATGACAGAAGATTTGCTGCCAGTCGAGGCTACGTAACGTAATGTTAATTGTGGCAGCTGGTTCACTATAGTAACAATGGTAGTTCTAGCAGCTGGTTCACTATAGTAACAATGGTAGTTCTAGCAGCTGGTTCACTATAGTAACAATGGTAGTTCTAGCAGCTGGTTCACTATAGTAACAATGGTAGTTCTAGCAGCTGGTTCACTATAGTAACAATGGTAGTTCTAGCAGCTGGTTCACTATAGTAACAATGGTAGTTCTAGCAGCTGGTTCACTGTAGTAACAATGGTAGTTCTAGCAGCTGGTTCACTATAGTAACAATGGTAGTTCTAGCAGCTGGTTCACTGTAGTAACAATGGTAGTTCTAGCAGCTGGTTCACTATAGTAACAATGGTAGTTCTAGCAGCTGGTTCACTATAGTAACAATGGTAGTTCTAGCAGCTGGTTCACTATAGTAACAATGGTACATGTAGTTCTGGCAGCTGGTTCACTGAATAATAACAATGTTTATTCATACAGATGGTTCTCGCGTGCCTTGTGGCCACCTGCGCCGCCCAGCTGGCATATCCTGCCTCAGTGGCCTACCGCGTCCCTTCCCACGACTCCGCCATCATCCAGAGTCACCGTCTGGGTGGTAACTTCGCCTACTCCACCCACGAGGCTCACGCCTACGCCGTCCAGACACCCGTCATCGGCCAACGCACCGTGCCCGTGGGTGTCTCCTACCACCAGGGTACCCCCATCGTCACCTCCTCCACCCAGTACGTCAACCAACAGATCCCTCAGTACGGCTACGCCATCCCCCAGGTCGCTGGTGTCGGTGCCATCCCATACGGCGCCTACCCCTTCGGCGGCTACCCCTACCCCTACGGTTTCGGTGGTGCCATCGTTGCCGCTGAGCCCGCCGCTGCCGCTGAGCCTGCCGTCGACACCGCCTAAGGACCTTCCCTCCGTCACTCCGTCACTCACTCCAGCGATGTATCGAGACCTTTCCACATCTCCATGACCTCCTCCTCCTCCTCCTCCTCCAGCTGTCCCTCACTCTTAGTTCATAGTCCTGGCATGGGCGCACCTTGGCGTGGGTGCGTCTTGACAGGGGCCCTTCATGACGTGGGCGCGTCATGGCGTGGACGCGCCCTATAGCATGGCGAGCGGCGACAGAGCCCACAACTGTGGGTTGGTCGCCGCGCCTTGTACAGCTCCGGTGTACAGACTTGTGTCATACGTGTATAGTAAATTTATTCAATAAAGCAACAAACTAAACAACGGGTGATGTTCTTAACCAACCACACTCACTGCTGACACCACTTACTGCTGACACACTCTCACTGCTGACACCACTTACTGCTGACACACGCTCACTGCTGACACCACTTACTGCTGACACACTCTCACTGCTGACACCACTTATTGCTGACGCCACCACTGCTGACACCACTTATTACTGACACACTCTCACTGCTGACACCACTTACTGCTGACACACTCTCACTGCTGACACAACTTACTGTTGACACACTCACTGCTGACACCACTTTACTGGCCGACATTAATTCTCACTGCTGACACCACTTACTGCTGACACCTCACTGCTGACACCACTTACTGCTGACACACACTCTCACTGCTGACACCACTTACTGCTGACACACTCTCACTGCTGACACCACTTACTGTTGACACACTCACTGCTGACACCACTTACTGCTGACACACTCTCACTGCTGACACCACTCTACTGCTGACACACCTCACTGCTGACACCACTTACTGCTGACACTCTCACTGCTGACACCACTTACTGCTGACACACTCTCACTGCTGACACCTCACTCTACTGCTGACACACTCTCACTGCTGGACACCACTTTCATTGCTGATTATTAATTTCACTGCTGACACCATTTTCATTGCCGACACCACTATTGCTGACACCACTTATTGCTGACACCATTTACTGCTGACGCCACTCACTGCTGACGCCACTCATTGCTGACACCACTTACTGCTGACACCACTTATTACTGACACCACTCACTGGTGATACCACTCACTGCTGACACCACTTATTACTGACACCACTCACTGCTGACACCACCACTCCATTCCATTAACTTATTGTGACTAATATACATATGTGTACTGGGATGACCTGATGATTAAGCACCCTAACGCCTGTCTAGGGGATTAGGTTAGGTTAGGTTAGGTTAAGTTAGGTTAGGTTAAGTTGTTTGGTTAGGTTAGGTTAGGTTAGGTTAAGTTGTTTGGTTAGGTTAGGTTAGGTTAACGTTAAGGTGTTTAATCATCAGGTGAAATTAGCTGGGGCGTGTAATGCTCAGGTGAGTGTCTATTGTGTGGTGTAGAGGAGGGGCGTGGTTACCTCTTACCAGTACCACATGGACAGGTGTAAATACAGGTAAGAGCATCACACACACACACACACCATCTGTGAGGGAACTAGTACTCCACGTGATGCCCCTCATAACACCATCTGTGAGGGAATTACTACACCACATCAGGCCCCTCGTAACACCATCTGTGAGGGAATTACTACACCACGTCAAGCCCCTCACAACACCATCTGTGAGGGAATTACTACACCACATCAGGCCCCTCATAACACCATCTGTGAGGGAATTACTACATCATCAGGCCCCTCATAACACCATCTGTGAGGGAATTACTACATCATCAGGCCCCTCGTAACACCATCTGTGAGGGAATTACTACACCACATCAGGCCCCTCATACACCATCTGTGAGGGAATTACTACACAACATCAGGCCCCTCATACACCATCTGTGAGGGAATTACTACACCACATCAGGCCCCTCGTAACACCATCTGTGAGGGAATTACTACACCACGTCAAGCCCCTCGTAACACCATCTGTGGAGGGAATTACTACACCACGTCAAGCCCCTCACAACACCATCTGTGAGGGAATTACTACACCACATCAGGCCCCTCACAACACCATCTGTGAGGGAACTAGTACTCCACGTGATGTGCCCCTCATAACACCATCTGTGAGGAATAACTACACCACATCAGGCCCTCACACCATCTGTGAGGGAACTAGTACTCCACGTGATGCCCTCATAACACCATCTGGAGGGAATTACTACACCACATCAGCCCCTCACAATACCATCTGTGAGGGAACTAGTATCCACGTGATGCCCCTCATAACACCATCTGTGAGGGAATTACTACACCACATCAGGCCCCTCTAACACCATCTGAGGGAATTACTACACCACGTCAAGCCCTCACAACACCATCTGTGAGGAATTACTACACCACATCAGGCCCCTCGTAACACCATCTGTGAGGGAACTAGTACTCCACGTGATGCCCCTCATAACACCATCTTGAGGGAATTACTACACCACATCAGGGCCCTCACAATACCATCTGTGAGGAACTAGTACTCCACGTGATGCCCCTCATAACACCATCTGTGAGGAATTACTACACCACATCAGGCCCCTCACAATACCATCTGTGAGGTAACTACTACACCACGTGATGCCCCTCGTAACACCATCTGTGAGGGAACTAGTACTCCACGTGATGCCCCTCATAACACCATCTGTGAGGGAACTAGTACTCCACGTGATGCCCCTCATAACACCATCTGTTAGGGAATTACTACATCATCAGGCCCCTCATACATCATCTGTGAGGGAACTAGTACTCCACGTGATGCCCCTCATAACACCATCTGTGAGGGAATTACTACATCATCAGGCCCCTCATACATCATCTGTGAGGGAACTAGTACTCCACGTGATGCCCCTCATAACACCATCTGTGAGGGAATTACTACATCATCAGGCCCCTCATACACCATCTGTGAGGGAACTAGTACTCCACGTGATGCCCCTCATAACACCATCTGTGAGGGAATTACTACACCACATCAGGCCCCTCATAACACCACCTGTGAGGGAATTACTACACCATCAGGCCCCTCGTAACACCATCTGTGAGGGAACTAGTACTCCACGTGATGCCCCTCATAACACCATCTGTGAGGGAACTAGTACTCCACGTGATGCCCCTCATAATGCCATCTGTGAGGGAGTTATTACACTACGTGTCTGCTGTTCAACACCTCAGCTCACATGATCTACGTGTGTAAACATTAATCTGTATGTTCACTGTATGTTCCTTTACCTTTCTCTAATGAAGGCTTTTGTTAAACCATCAAAGTATGTAATAAGTCATTTATGTCCAATGTATATTTTCAGCCTTCGGGCTGCAAACTTTTTCAATAAACCGTTTATTATTATTATTATTACACACACACACACACACACACACATTAACATTCAACTCTTAGGGTTTATGTCAAGTGAAGTGTGTGAGTTGAAGTGTGTCAAGTGAAGTGTTTCAAGTGAAGTGTGTCAAGTTAAGTGTGTCAAGTGTAGTGTGTCAAGTGAAGTGTGTCATGTGAGGTGTGCCAAGTAAAGTGTGATGTGTCATGTGATGTGTGTCATTTGAGGTGTGTGAGTTGAAGTGTGTCAAGTGAAGTGTGTCGTGTGAGGTGTGACGTCACTGGGGAGGATCGCATAGCAGGTCGTCCTCTGGTAGTGACGACATCTGCAACACGACCACAACTTCCGTGGGTGTGGCAAGGTCGTGTCCCTCTCCCTGCCCCCCCCCCTTCTCTCTATCTCCCTAGGTCACCTCTTCCTCCTTCCTATCTCTCCCTGTCTTCCTGTCTCCCTCTCTCTTCTTTCTCCCTTCCTTTATAATCTTCTCTTTCTCTACTATGTTCTATTCCTCTCATTCCTCTCCTACTCTCCTTTTCTCATTCTTTTCCATTCTTTCTCTTTCCCTTCCTCGTGCTGTTCCTTCCCCATCTCTCCTACCTTACTTTTATTCTTCACCCTCTACCTCCCTCCCTCCCTCTCCCGTCCCTTCTCTCCCCTTACTCCTCCCCCCTCCTTTCTTTTATCGTCCAACAAAACATTAGTAATACTTTAGTTACCCGTAAAAACATATTTTACGTTTTTTGTATAACAGTGTCCTTGAGGTTTTCTTTGTATTCTTTTCACGCAAGACTGTAACACAACATAAACTACAAGCGAAAATAATCAGTGATACATTAACAAGCTAAACACTTACATTAACTGCTGGCTAAATTTCCCTAATAATAATATATGCAAAGTGTGTGTGTGTGCTATGATGATGCATAAAATGAAATAATGCCAATTTTACCAAAACCCACTAATTTCCAAGGAGTTATATCAATAATAACAAAATTGTATCCCAATTTTGCACGTGTACGATGTTTTTAAAGGTTTAATTGGCTGATTATCTCTGAAAAATTTAACATTCTGAAATTGATATGTTAAAAAATATATGGATAACCATTTGTTTTTATTCCTATAACTGATAATTAGCGAAATGATAAATAAATAACTTCACTGAAAAGCATCATTGATAATCTCACAAAAATATAAGACTAGGGCCCCTTTAGGACTGGGGTCTTTTATAACTAGGGCATATTATGGCTAGGGCCTATTAAACCAATTAAATTCAATAAAATCTTTGTATGATTAGCGAAGTTTAGCCTGACAGAATGTATTGACGTTTTCTATGTTTCTCTTCTCCGCTAGACCTTGAGATTTAAATTCTTACCTACACACACACATTTACACTTGAAGTTTCCACACTAGTTGGCAGTATGAGTGACGAACAGTGTGTCAGAGATAAGAGACTACACCTTCTACACACATAATCCTGAACGAGCACAGACGAGGGGTAAAGGTTATCACTTGACCTATGATTCTAGAGCAGACTCATTAGAGAAACATATAGAGGCGATTATAGATGATGATGATGATAATAATAATAATAATAATAAAATCGCTAATGGCTGGTATTTTATCGCCTCATCCTGTCATAGTTTATAGAACACTTTGCAAGGTCGGCAAAAATTATGTTCCAATGTGATTTATAAATACAAGATGTTGCCAATATTTTTTTTTTGAACAAGAAGAATGTGCCGTATAAAATTTATTATGCAATTCTAGTTATAAATGACTGTATATAACTAATTAATACAACAACAGAGTAAAATAAAAATAAAGTCCTCAGCCACCATAATAAATCATGTAATATAATGATTTAATATTTACTGAAGATATACAGGACTTCATGTTTACGTCTTGCAACACAGCGATGATATACCTCAAGGTCGTCTTACCTGTAGTATTGACCACCAGGGGGGAGGAGGAGCAGGTGGTGGCTGTAACCTCTTTGTTGGTGACTGGTCAATGGTACCTCTCCATCCTCCCCCATCCCTCCTCCTTACCGCCTCCTTCCTCTCTCCTAACCCCCCCCCCCTCCCCCTCTTCCCTCCCAAATCCTAATAGAGTCCAGGCATAATTGGCACCATTCCCTCTTATGAATATTAATTCTAATGGTTAGGTTAGGGCCCAATTTCAATAGGGTAGGGTAGGGTAAGCTTAGGGTAGGGTAGGGTAAGCTTAGGGTTGGTCAGGGTAAACTTAGCGCAGGTTAGGTTAGGTTTGGGCGTTTTTTAAGGGAAAACATCTGAAGTCACTGCTCAATCCACGCCTCTGCCTGTATTAACGTCTGATACAATACGAATTAACTTCAATGACGACAATGCAAGAACTACTTCCCTTAAAGGTAATTATATCGAAAAAATATAATATACTCAACGTTGATATCATAATGAAGGGAATTATTAGAGAAGACTGTATATAAACAAAGCCTGACACGGGAGCCCACACATCGTCGTCCCTCACCCGTAACACACTGACACGGAAAGGTCTCCATAGGTGACATATACTGACACCCTCACCAACAACACAACAACATCAACAAACAACTCACCTGTTTTACGTCCTGATGGGTCACCTGGGAGTTCCTTCACGTCTAATACACCGAGTTGTGCTTCAGAGAGCAGTTCACGTTTTTTTTTATGTTTTATGTTTACATTTGAAGTTTCTAAAAAGTTTCATAAGATATTCACTACAGGATCGAGCCGTATGTTTACTCTCGGTGTTTGGTGTGAGTTTTGAGCCAGTGTGGTGTATTACTTTAGGTGTTTGAGCTGTGTTGTACATAGGGAGCTCCTCAATGTGTGGTTGTAGGAACATATGGACTCGTGTTGCTGGAAACCTCATGAGGCTGTCTGCTGTAACTGTGTCCGGCTACTCACTCGAGGATGACCCTCCCTGACCCCGCACTCGAGGACGATCCTCTATGATCACTCACTCGAGGACGATCCTCTATGATTACTTACTCGAGGACGACCCTCCCTGACCACTCCGTCAGTTTACTAGTGTCCGTGTACCGTCAGCCAGACCGCCCTCTCTGTATCCTGGTTGATAGAGAATCACGGCCCTTGTGGCTAACACCTGTATTGAATTATAATAATTTTACTTCCACATCAAACTGAACACCTTTTCTGATAGACCCTAACCTAACCTAACCTTGGGTAGATATATAGATTGACAGTAAGATGGGCGTGAGACAGTAAATGTAACAGTAAGATGGGCGTGAGACAGTAAATGTAACAGTACAATGGGCGTGAGACAGTGATTCCGGAGTTGAGTCATATCAAGTGTTACTGTTTTTCTCTACTTCAAGGTGAGATAAAAGAAGAAAAAAGCGTAAAGCCTAATAGAACGACTTAGCTCCACCACTCACTCGCCTTACGTCACTCAGGTGTAACCAGGTGAGATGTGTTAATTAGTTCCTGCAGTTCCATTTACCTTAATTTTTCCAGTGTTAATTTTTGTAATGTTATGAGTTGTTTTTGTTCTATGTGTTGTAAGGATGAGTTGTAGTTAGTGGTTGTTGTTGTTATTTAGGGTTATTTAGAGGTCAATAGTCTTTAATTAGATTACCTGATGATTAACTCAATTTAATTTACATCACCATTGATTAGCTACCTTAACAGTAACCTAACCTAACCTAACCTAACCTAACCTAACCTAACCATATAACCTTTACCAAATACATCATCCCAACAGTTTGTATATAAAGAAAAAACTTGATTTAATTTAAGTTTCTTTTTATGAATCTTATCGAAATTTCTCCCGTGTAACTGTCTCGGTGTTAAGTAAATACAACAATAAATACGGGAGTCTTGTATATAAAACCCGTATTGTATTTTGGTATTTGATTCGTAGATTTGAAATATTTATTAATACTTTTATACTTTTAGTCACGATCTGTGTGTTGATTAGGGAGTCGTGTTTGTTTTTTGTTTTGATTTTGTGTTTTGTTTGTTGTCCAGTATGTGTGTGTGTGTGTGTGTGTGTGTGTGTGTGTGTGTGTGTGTGTGTGTGTACAATATTGCTTCACCAGACAGATCTTTTCACTTACTAATCCTCAACAGCTTCCCCCTTTGGCCCAGTCCTTCAGTAGTAGCAGCAAGAGGCGCAGTAGCAGGGCAGGAGACAGAGGAACTTGGAGAGAAACGAGATGTGTGTTACCTACAGTTGTCCCTGTAGGTGTAGTGGCAGAAGGCGTTGTAGGGGGAAGAACCTGAGGCTGGGTATTGCTTGGTGTAACAAACACCATACCAAGACCCACTCCTCCAGTAGTAGCTGTAGGAGACACAGAAGCAGGTTGAAAATGAGCTAAATGTGCCACCACGACAACCTCTTATTCCTCCTATAGGCGGCACGGTAGGTGGAGTCATCTCTTCAAATACCTCACGGAAAATTCACTCCTCTAACATCAACTGTAGAAGGCGCAGTAGCAGCAGGAGAGAAGCAGAGAGGAACAAGAAGGGAAGAATACCCTAAGAAAATTTATTCCCTCAAGAGTAATCGAAGGAGACGACGACGGGAGGAGGAGGAGGAGGAAGGGAGAATGGGGTCACATGACTCTACAAAGACGTACAGACACAAAGACTCCTTCCTTCACACACTGCCTCAGGTGACGTGGTCTTAGGCAGGAGGACCTTAGGACTAACACCTTAATATGAAAAAAAAATGATTCCTGAAGGAGTAGCCGCAGGAGGCACAGTAGCAGGAAGAAGTGCCCAGGTGAGGTGCGTGGGAGTTGCAGTATAAGGCAGGTGTCTGGGCCGCCCTCCCCACACACCGCTCGTCGCCTCGCTGCCATGAACACCCTGGTGAGTCCTCCTTCTGTTTACATTGTTTGCAAGTTGTTTACACCTCACACTAATTATGTTTATATCTCATTCTATTTACATTTCGACCTGTTTGTTTACATCTCTGTTTATAAATTTACATTGTTTCAACTTGTTTACATCTTACACGGTTTGATTATATTTACAACTCACTGGTTCTCTTTGTGTTTACACCTGGCACACTGCTTTTGTTTACACCTGATATTGTTTATTTATACCTGGCAATATTTATGTTCACACCTGACACTGTTTGTGATGACACCTGGCACACTGCTTTTGTTTACACCTGACACTGTTTACACCTGACATAGTTTACACCTGACATTGTTTATATATCGGTTGCCATGGAGATATAAATAATGAAACATATAAACAAGAATAAGTGGAAGTAGCAGAGAAATAATACGAAAAAATACTTAGAAAAAACCCCCACTGATGGTGGAGTATTACCTTACGAGTGATGGTGTATGGTGGAGTATGGTACAGTAATGGTGGAGTATGGTACAGTAATGGTGGGGTATGGTACAGTAATGGTGGAGTATGGTACAGTAATGGTGGAGTATGGTACAGTAATGGTGTATGGCTAATGGTGGAGTATGGTACAGTAATGGTGGAGTATGGTACAGTAATGGTGGAGTATGGTACAGTAATGGTGGAGTATGGTACAGTAATGGTGGAGTATGGTACAGTAATGGTGGAGTATGGTACAGTAATGGTGGAGTATGGTACAGTAATGGTGGAGTATGGTACAGTAATGGTGGTACAGTAATGGTGGAGTATGGTACAGTAATGGTGGAGTATGGTACAGTAATGGTGGAGTATGGTAAGTATGGTACAGTAATGGTGGAGTATGGTACAGTAATGGTGGAGTATGGTACAGTAATGGTGGAGTATGGTACAGTAATGGTGGAGTATGGTACAGTAATGGTGGAGTATGGTACAGTAATGGTGGAGTATGGTACAGTAATGGTGGAGTATGGTACAACGACGTGACTCTTGCAGGGACCTTGAACTTCATAATTGTTCCATATAAAGACTTCTGGCCCCTGGGTCTTTGTTAATTGTGTTCTTCCTTAGTCACTGGTATTTTAATGAAATTCTTAAACTATGAGTGACATGAAGTTTGCATATGTTTAATTTAATAAGTACACACACACACACACACACACATATATGAATATAGGTATGTATATGTGTGTGTGTGTGTGTGTGTGTGTGTGTGTGTGTGTGTGTGTGTGTGTGTGTCATAAGGGGTCCTAAAGTAGGTACTAGTGATGTGAGACGCAGTACGGGCAGCTGCTGGGCGTTCCATGTATCGTGTCCTAATACGGAGCTCCGGGAGGCGGCTCGATCTAGTTCCTACGTAGGAGGGCGACATCCTTCGTCTCCTGCATCTTCTGACCCGTGCCTACGTCCTGGAGTGTCACGCAGGCACTGACACACGGACATATGGACACAGACATAGCTCGTGTTATTGATGCCACCAGCCGGGGTGCCACGAGACTAGGAACAATTACGCGGTGCAGCAGATGGGTAGGGGGGCAGGGCAGGGCAGGATACGGTACGTGTGGCCTTGGAAATTAACTAGCGGCCACCGCCCTCCAGCGCCTCCTACGCAAGTTTATTCCCGGATACACACACACACACACACACACGGGTTTATGGATGTTATATCTATCTATCCAGGACTGGGCTCCATGTTACAAGGAAAAGAAAAGAGGCGTATAACTCCTTCTTGGAGACCCGCGGAGGTGCAGGTGTGGGAGGCCCCGTGTGAGAGGAGCCGCCGGGGAACGGCCCTAAGGAAGGCGTTTTTTTATTGCACAGATTCAGTATTTATCTGTGTGTGTGTGTTTGTGTGTGTGTGTGTGTGTCCGTCCCAGGGTAATTCTTACTGCGTTTTAAACTAAATATAATGTTATGCTTTACTTTATTAATTAGTTTAAATATAAATAACGCGTTTATTGTTTGGATGAACAACTGTTAGTATAAACAATGACTGTCTGGTAACAAGACTGTGCTGCACGCCGTAACGGAAGAGCCTCGTAGCGTGTGTTAGTAATGGTGGAAGGCTCTCGTGTGGTGTAGGGGAGTGATCAGTTTATTATTCAGTTTCATATGTATGATATTATTTATGTTGCTGTGAGTCACAGCCTGTGACCAGACCCTGAAGGTGCAGCACCACACACACACACGCACACAAACATACACACACACACACACACACACACACAGAGTGTTTTCCATCGAGTACTGTTGCTGACACTCTTCTCCTGACAGTTTCCTTCTTCAATATTATTGCTGACAATCTCACCTCCATCAGGCACAACTGCTGACCGTCGTCCTCTGCTGGGGATGCCTGAAGGTGTCGGCATCAGCCAGTCAGCTCCACAGGGTGAACCGCGACGGGGTGGTGTACGCGGCGGCGCCTCAAGAGCGGGGATCGTACTCTGTGGGCGCTGCAGGAGGGCAGTACAACTATGGCTACAACACAGGTGATGGGATAGCCAAGGTGGAGGTGAGGCAACCTGACGGATCCATCGTCGGCTCCTACCGCTACTTCGACCCGACTGGGAAACAGGTAAAGGTGTTTCAGAACACCTAATGATTAAGTCATTAGTATTTTAGTATTAACATTAAAAAATAACTTATCCCGTAGTCGTAGTTCAAGAAATGGAGGAAAACTTTGTTTCTTTCATCTCAGTGAGTTGTTTCCTCTTTTGAGTCATATTACCACGATCGTAACCCTCTCAGAAATCTACATTCCTCCTGCCTCTCCTTCGTCAGGTGGTTCGCTCGTACATAGCCGACAAAAGGGGCTTCCGGGTGCTGGGCAACGACCTCCCCATCAGCCCAGACACCCCGGCGTCAAAGATCCACGGACTCCATGCCTTCACTGGCGCCGTGGAAGGCACCAGCGAGTTTGCAATCCCTCCACCTCTGGGACCCAACACCGTGCAACAGACCCATAGTGTACAGCTGCAGCAACAGCAGGCACATCAAAAGTTACAGCAGCAGCAACTACAGGAGAAGCTCGTGCAGCAGTCACAACAACAACAGCAACTACAGGAACAGCTGGTGCAGAAACAACAGGAAGTGTACCGAAAACAGCAACAGCAGCTGGAGGAACAGAGGCGACAGCTTCAGCTCCAACAAGAAAAACTCGAGGCCTTGCAGAGGGAGCTGGAGACACAGCAGCTGAAGATCCAACAACAAATACAGCAGCCACAGTTCCCATATCAACAACAGCAGCTTCCGGTACAACAACAACCGCAGCCTTTCCAGATGTCTACCCAGCATCACTACCAGACGTCCATCCTGCCCCAGCAACAAGGTCTCCCACACACCAAGAACCACCTGACGGGCGGCATCACCTCCCCTTATTTCCTCTTCGACCGTCAGATCAACTATGACTTCCCAGCTGGCTTCGCTTACCTGGGGATGCCAACCATCACCTCACCTGCCAGCAACACACCTTACCCTAAATCATCCTACGTAATAGGTCAATCTCGCTAGGGCCTTCCTGATGCAACTGATTCAGAGAGAGAGAGAGAGAGAGAGAGAGAGAGAGTCATATGATTTCACGACCGACCACTCTGCTGACGTTGTACTTCTCATAATATAAAGTACAGAATGACTAACAAGAACACCAGTTGTACTTCACGGACGCTCGAGATGTACTTATACATTTTAAATAATTGTTTATTAGTAAATACAGAAGATATATATTACCTCACTTATCCAATACCAAAGTTCTTTCTCCTAACTTTACACGAAGCACAGTTCACACGTTTTTCAGTCCTAACAGGCCCCAGTCCTAACAGGCCCCAGTCCTAACGGGCCCCAGTCCAAACAGACTACAGTCCTAACAGGCCCCAGTCCTAACAGGTCCAAGTCCTAACAGGTCCCAACCTAACCTACCATAAGAATTAGGGGCTACTCCTAATGCGGCCCTTAATTTAAAGGGTTTCATTACTACTAGACCCTAATCTTGATGCTTAGGTTTGATTAGGGCTTACCGGGGTCTATTTGGGCTACTGGGGCCTATTTGGGACCTACTGGAGTCTATTTGGGACCTACTGGAGCCTATTTGGGCCTACTGAAACCTATTTAGGGCCTACTGGAGCCTATTTGGGCCTACTGAAACCTATTTAGGGCCTACTGGAGCCTATTTAAGACTTATTTGGTCTTACTGGGGACTAGTTGGGACTATTTAGGGCTGAGGACTTAACACCCTCTTCACTCTAACACTGAATGGGGTCCACAGTCTACACCAGTGACTTGGGGTCAATAACCAGGTGGTGGGGGGTCAGGGGTCAAGTGATCAAGGGGTCAAGGGGTCAAGGGGTCGTCTGGTGGTGGGTTTTAATGATGTCATTGTCTATTGTTACCCGTGTCTCTTAACTCAGGACCTGTACCTGTTTATATCTTGTTATGAACGTGTATAATACATAGGGAGGGAGGAGTCACTATTTTCTCCTCCTCTTTGTTGGATGATACATGAGGAGGGAGTTTAGTGTGTGTATCTCTTACCACGTGTTATACATAGGTTCAATCGCTGTCAGTGTTTATACATGATACATGGGTCAGTCACTTTGTGTTTCCTCCATGTATACATTGATATAATACACCGTAACTAAACCTTTAATAATCTTCAGGCATAAATGTGTCTTGATTTTGTTATGTATTAATAAATTTATCTTAAAACAAATTGATTTTTTCCTTCATTCCTGATTAATATTACGGAGAGAGAGAGAGAGAGAGAGAGAGAGAGAGAGAGAGAGAGAGAGAGAGAGAGAGAGTACACAAGACATAAGCCATATATAGTGAGCCGAGACAAAGAAAAGGTTACTAGTTGAGGGTTATGTTAAAGTGATATAATGAATGAACGGAATCTTTTTCATTTCTTAATTCATTCAATGTTAATAAAAATATATTAATAATGTATAAACACCTTTTTTTACTCTTTCTAAATAAATAATAAATAATAATAAATAATGATATATAATACATAAGCCGCATTTAGTGACTCAACACTGGGCGGGCGGCAGATCAGGGTTGTGTTGATATGAACCTTTCAACTCGGTGTTAGCTCAAGGTCATGAACTTTCTAGGTCATGGTTAATACTCATGAGACATAAAGGCAAGCATGAACTTAGTCGGTAGAGGTCGGTGGGAGTTAGGAGTTATCGGTGGTAGTCGGTTATGGTCGGGGTTAGTCGGTAGTGATGGTAGTATTCGGCAGTGGTCGGGGAGGTAGTCGGTGTGAGGAATGTTGTTGTTGAGGTGGGACGGACCGACTGCTAGGAGGGAGAAGCGGCAGTTTTCCGTGGGTGTGGCGAGGCCATCCAACCCTCCCTACCTTCCCTGGTCGGCCCTCTCCACGCCCTCACCCCGGGCCATCCATCACCAGAGAGAGAGAGAGAGATAATATAAAACATTCAGCCTGACACACCCCTCATACAGTAACAGTGTGGAGGGTGAGTCTCGGGTCCCACACACAGCTCCTCCGTCACCCCTGGCCGGCATGTTAAGTGTTCGTGTCCTTCATGACGGACGACACAACCTTGAGGATCTTGTGTATAAGACGACAGGTGAGTGTAGTACAGGTAATACTTTAATTGTATTGATTAATTTAGTACAGTAAGAGTGACATATTGTTGTTTTCCCTCGTTTAGGAGTTTGTGTTACACTCCTTTGTATAAACATCTGTGTTGTGGCTTATTTAAGAGTAACTGAACTGTGTTGTACCGGGTGGTGGTGATACAGGGACACATGCCACCTTCATCATGTATGTATGGTATGTACTATGACGCTGAAGGTTCTTCATCATAGATGTGTATAATGGTGAGTTATGGTCCTCCTTCATGGCCATGTAGGAGGGAGGACCCCGCCCTCAGGGACTCCTCCGTTGACTCGTCATCACAACACTCTAACACAGCAGTAGTTTGGTGGTGCAGGACAGGGAGGTAATAAACACTTGGTTATATCAAATTGTTTTATTGAATAAATTTACTATACACGTATGACACAAGTCTGTACACCGGAGCTGTACAAGGCGCGGCGACCAACCCACAGTTGTGGGCTCTGTCGCCGCTCGCCATGCTATAGGGCGCGTCCACGCCATGACGCGCCCACGTCATGAAGGGCCCCTGTCAAGACGCACCCACGCCAAGGTGCGCCCATGCCAGGACTATGAACTAAGAGTGAGGGACAGCTGGAGGAGGAGGAGGAGGAAGTCATGCAGATGTGGAAAGGTCTCGATACATCGCTGGAGTGAGTGACGGAGTGACGGAGGGAAGGTCCTTAGGCGGTGTCGACGGCAGGCTCAGCGGCAGCGGCGGGCTCAGCGGCAGCGGCGGCACCACCGAAGCCGTAGGGGTAGGGGTAGCCGCCGAAGGGGTAGGCGCCGTATGGGATGGCACCGACACCAGCGACCTGGGGGATGGCGTAGCCGTACTGAGGGATCTGTTGGTTGACGTACTGGGTGGAGGAGGTGACGATGGGGGTACCCTGGTGGTAGGAGACACCCACGGGCACGGTGCGTTGGCCGATGACGGGTGTCTGGACGGCGTAGGCGTGAGCCTCGTGGGTGGAGTAGGCGAAGTTACCACCCAGACGGTGACTCTGGATGATGGCGGAGTCGTGGGAAGGGACGCGGTAGGCCACTGAGGCAGGATATGCCAGCTGGGCGGCGCAGGTGGCCACAAGGCACGCGAGAACCATCTGTATGAATAAACATTGTTATTATTCAGTGAACCAGCTGCCAGAACTACAGGTACCATTGTTACTATAGTGAACCAGCTGCTAGAACTACCATTACGCTACGTAGCCTCGACTGGCAGCAAATCTTCTGTCATATGAAACATAACAACTACAAAGGGCAGATGTGGGCAGACAAGGGGGCAGGTGTGGACAGACAAGGGGGCAGGTGTGGGCAGACAAGGAGGCAGGACCCAGGTGTGCAGGCAGGTACTCACAGACTTCATGACGGCGGGAGGTTGTGGAGCACAGGAGATGTACAGAACTTGTGGTGATGAGCACAGCCGCCCTGCCCCTTATGTAGTGGCTGTGACGTCATCTCCAGGTGTGGCCCTGACACGCCCTTCATCCTATAGGGTGTGGCTAGGTGGGTGGGTGGGTGGGGAGACGAGAGGGCAGGTATGTGGGAGATGGGTGGGGAATGCGAGTGTGTGTGTCGGCAAGGGTGAGGTTAGCTGTGGTGGCTATGGGGGACATGGGAGGAGGAACTCAGTGACAGGGGTGAGACCTTCACATTCCACAACAACAACAACAACAACAACAATAACAACAACAACAACAACAACAATAACAACAACAACAACAACAACCACAACAATAACAACAACAACAACAACAACAATAATAATAATAAAAATAATAATAATAATAATAATAATATTAATAATAATAATAATATTCATAATAATAATAATAAACACAGAATCATTCACATTCGTCATCTAGGTAAACAAACATTCATAACCCGGAAGTAACAAGAAGTGTGGCTTATCATTATCTTCATTCAGCTCCTTCAATAAACACGAGAGTTACCGAAAGCGTACGAGGAAGTGAGTTTATATTGGACTCCTAAGAATTATTAGTATACAGCTTAGCGGCCACAGGTACACTTGATGAATTTACAACAGGTAACACAACTCTTTATATTGATCTAGTTATTTCCTCAGTAAGAGAGAGAGAGAGAGAGAGAGAGAGAGAGAGAGAGAGAGAGAGAGAGAGAGAGAGAGAGAGCACACCCAGCCTACAGTACTCCAACACCACGCAATGAATCATATAGGGAGACACCAATTAAACTAGTGTCATATTGTAAAGAAAATAACAGTGCCTCTCTACTAGCGCCACTGTGAGTTACCATATTCTATTAAACCTTTAACTATCCCCTATAACTATTCTCACATTAATGACACTAATATAGTAAAGTGACTGCCACCTTGTGAGTATAGGTACAGACAGACAGACAGACAGGCAGAGTTGCTCCAGTGTGATGTAAGCTGGGGCTGTCAACACGGCTCTGTCACCTAAGGTCTCTTTCTTAATATATAGAGAAAGAAGAAAGAAGATCAGAGGCGTTACTGATAGCTTGGATAATGAAGAAATAGCAGGAGGTGGTGGTATAGTTGGCGGGTTAACTATCTTGTCTCTGATTCACTAAGGTAATTTTGTTGGGAAGTTATGCGTTGGGCTGGTTACTGTAGGTTAATTAGGGGTGTTTGCTTGGTTACCTGTCCATTTTGTCGGCACTGGCACTTGCTAGGCTCTCCTGTTCAATATGCTAGGTGTTTTAAGGCGATATTTAGTATTTTACCGAACTTGTTATTAGTGGATTCTGGTCGAGCGAAGTTGTCGTTTGTGTGGCCGGGGAGGTCGGGAGGTTTGGTAAGTTTTTTGGGGAGTCGTCTATGGTCGAGTACACGTTTCTCGACCCATTCCCTATCCTCCTTTACCTTCTCTCTCCAGCCCTATCCCCCCATCCTCCCTATCCTTCTTCGCCTCCTTCTAATGTATATGAATCACTGCCCTGCTTGACAGTGAACAGTGATATCACCCACATGAGTTCTGGCCTATATATACTGTTTATGAATATGATCTATTTCTTTGTGTGAGAAGTGATAGTACTCTCAGTGCCAAGACCTGACCGAGCTACTCACAACAGGCAAACTGTACTCCGAGCTTTGTCAATAAATTTGTTAATCAAATAAGAAGTCCCATCCCCACTTCTCCTCTCCATCTCTCTTCTCCTCTTTTCCCCTCCCCATTCCCCTTCTCCTCTCCATCCCCACCCTTTCCAAATATCCTCATCTTCCCTTTCCCCCTTCTCTCCTCCCTTCCTCCCCTCCCATCCCCAACTTGACCACCACTCGCCCTAAAACCCACCAGTGACACACTCTACTGACCTTGTGACGAGAGCCCCTGATGTAACCACACGAGCATCGCCTCACTACTTCTGTACCGTCAGTCGTAGATCACCCACATAACAGGTGATGGAGGCGTCCCACAGAATAGTTATTCTTTTGACGATAATTCTACTGTAAAAAAAAAAAAAAAAGATGGTGGTCTCTCCCATGATTTGTAAACACTCCTCATCCATCCCAAAATTACCCTGGAAATAAGCCTTGCCAGCCTACCATCTATACTCCTGTCTGGCGTCTTAGTTCAGTCATGTAGAAGAAAAATACAAATTAGATCATGAATGCGTAAAGATAATATATATAAAGAAATATTTACTATTATTGACCAACACCTCTAAGTACATCGGGTGGCTGACACCAGACACACTCCGTGGTTGTCCTCTAGCGATTAACCTTATATTAAACTTATATGAAGAATTTACTGTATAAATAACTATGTATAATTTTATCTACCAGTCTGTCTAAAGGGTATAAATAATTTCTTTTAATATACATAAGTTACTCCTCTAATATTTTGTTTTCTATGATACAATTTTTATAGAGAATGCAATATAATTTAACGGTAACTAAATAAATTGTTGTATTGTACTTCTAAAGTCTTAATGTATATACTTTACCTTCCCTTACCATATCCTTTTTGTCACTATAATAGTCGTATCGTTATTTAGTGTTCCTGAATCTTACTCCAAAGATATTAGCTCTGCAAATGTTCTGTACTATGGGCGGACATCCATTAGTTCCTTATATGAGCACTTGTTAA